CCCCCCCCTTCCCAAAGCACCGTAGTGTTATCCTATGGTTGCAACATCCCCACTGGCAGTCTCGTCCCTATTGTGAAGCAGCTTGACGCTGTTGCCTAAGAAGGCACATCTTTGGGGTCACATGGGGGGGTGGCGTGGCAGGCAGTGGCATGGCTAATCTGCTGCACAATTTTTGAGTGCCTGCCGCCCCTATTCCAGCCAGAGCATCCCAGGTTGCTAAGAACTGGGTGGCAAAATGTGTCGGGGGGGCCATACACATCTCCTCATCCAGCTCTTGGCAATCTAGGATGCCCTGGCTGGCATCCTGCCCCGCTCCTGGCAACCAGTGACGCCAGCCAGAGCATCCCGGGTTGCCGAGAGCTGCGTGGGGAGATGCAGAGGGTGGTATCACTCTGTCGGTGGGAAGGTGACCAGGCTGTATTCTTCAGCTACAACAGAGAAAAGTCAGGTCACCGGCCTGGCTCTGCTGTCTGGCAGTTTGTGCAAATCTCCGGACTCCCTGGAGGAACTCCCAACTATGTATATAGCTGGTGGGCAACTCCTGCCCTCCAGTGTGCTTTAACTACAAAACCCATCTTGCCTCTTGGAGTCATGCCGGTAACTGTCAGTCTTGCAATGCTTTATGGGACTTGTAGTTCCACAATGGCCTGGCCTTTAATGCAGGAGGCTTGCAGATGGTGTAGCTTGGCTGTGGGATGCAGCAGTGATTTTGTGAGAGGCGGCAGTGCAGATGGAGGGAGAGGCTGGGGTGGGTTGTCTACGCGCTGGCTGTCTTCCCCGCTTGTCCCCTGACTATACAGCTGCAAGACATTAAACAAGTCTATAAAACGCAGATCATATTAGATTGCGCACTGCGAGGGATTTCGCCGAGCTTGTGATTTAATCTGACAAGAGCCAAACATGAACATTGAATGCAATTACGGGCTTGCATAGTAAAGGAGAACGGGAATAACTGTGTGCACAGTACAGTAACCCATAGCAACCAGACCCTAGGCCAGAGTTGCTCACCCCTGCATTAGTCCATGTGCAGGTACTTCTATTTGGCTGGGGCAATTTGTTACCGGGAACCAAGTTTTCTGTGTGTGATCTCATCCAAACAGGGAAGAAGATTGCAGTGGCGTTTTGCAAAATGTCCCCCCTCCCTGTATGGGAAGACATTCTACTTTTTTCATCTATGCTCCTGTCCTGTCCCTGACTTCCTCCTCAGTGCAGCGCCGAACCGTCCGGCAGGTCATTGGCTGACTTGGTTGGCTGTCTTTCTGTTCAGTAATACTTGACAGGTTCTTATACACGCACTGGGGGGAATTTATCTAAAACTGGAGCAGCTGTACATGGCAACCAATCAGTATCTCTTCCGTCAGTTAAGATTTGAAAATGAAAGAAAGATGGAAGCTGATTGGTTGCCATGCTCAGCTGCTCCAGATTTTGTCTGCTCCAGTTTTGATAAATTCCCCTCATTGACGCTTGCCTTCCCTTTACTGCCCTTCCTTGAAAACCAAACCCTGCGAAGACCCCATGTTGGAGCTTACAGAGTTAATGACTTGCTCTCCTCCCTACACTGGATCACTGCACAGATCTGGAAGAAATGCAGAAAGCTCACCGAGATTCAAGGAAGAAGACACAGGACTCCTGTATTATGACAATTTGTTCTAGGGAATTGGCTGTTCCCAGAGTCGTCACATTTTCTAGTCCAGAGGCAGATTGCAAATCCATAAAACATAATTTATGGAAAGGGTAAAAACTGCTGCAAGTATTTCAAATAGAGGTGACGGGTTCTCTTTACATGACAGTTTGATATACACCACATTCTCAGTGTCTCCCCTCTGGTGATCATGCGTGTGGTCGGGTTGCACATGCTCACCTCTGTTTTCCCGCATTGCTGTTTTGGATTCTCCTCCTGGCTGAGCTTTGTCTGGACTGGATGTGTTTTTTGCCTGGTGCTAGGTGCAGCCGTGTTCCTCCTACACACCGAGCTCCGAGTGCCACTTCCCTGACTCAGCCTGGGAGAGGACGGCGGGGAAGCTGGGAGTGCGAACCTTGCCGCACAATGAACTCCTAAACTGAACCCGGCGTATGGTTCCCTGCCCGCTGCGTCCCATTCCCAGCCGTGCCCATACACAGTGCAATGAAAGGTGAACCTGCCAGGGAGGGATGTACGGGGGCTGCCACTCCTCCTGAAAATGTTAGTCATACTGCTTGTTGTGCTGGACTGAAATTGCTTCCTGTGATTTCACTGCACACTGCGAGCTTCTCACAATGGGGGGAGACCTATGGTGGGACCTCAGCCCTGAGTTCCCAGGTCAATACACCTTCTGTGCCCGTTATGAGGGGCTCCCACCATCCCTGTGCTGAGTTCCGGCTCCGCCCACCTACTGTGCCCATTATGAGGGGTTCCCACCATCCCTTTGCTGAGTTCCTGGGTCTGTACACCTGCTGTGCCCATTATGAGGGGTTCCCACCAGCCCTGTGCTGGGCTCCCGGGTCTGTATACCTGCTGTGCCCATTATGAGGGCTTCCCACCATCCCTGTGCAAAGTTCCCGGGTCTGTATCCTGCATCTTTGACGTTCCCCAATGTCCTGACCGCATATCTCGTATGGAATTATACCCGTGTATGGCTGGCTTTAGCCAACCAGGCCCCGCCCATAACAAAATATAACTTTTTATTTTTTAGTGGACTGATCCTTTAATAATCCCCAAACGGCTTTCTTCTTTTTTCGTCTTGGTGGTGAAGA